ATATAATATAAATATAATTAATTTAATTAATTTTTATATATTGTATATATGATTTTATATTAAAATTAGTTTTTTTTTCTTGTGTGTTACATGGTTTTTTATATAATATTTTATATTAAAGTTTAAATTTTTTATTTTTTTAATCAATTCTTGAGTTTTATAATAATTTTCAATTAAAAATTTTAATTAAATAATTAAAGTTGAGTTAAGTAATTAGTTAGTAAAGGCATTTAAAAAAAATTGTATATAATCACATTTAAAGAAAAGAATATAAAGAGAATTCAAAAACCACTCAATATTAACTTTTATCTCATAATTTAAATATATCTGTTCTTTTTTTCTACTATTATTCTATTTAAAGATTTAAACAATATTCTCTCTTCTCTCAATTAAAAACTATAATACACTTAAATATGATTAAATACTTGTGTATTGAATGTGCATTGCATGGAATCGTTTTAATATTCCTTTTTCAACATTATATTAAAAAATTGATATACCATTTTAAAATATAATTTAAACTAAAGAATCTAAACATAGATATTCTACAATCAAATTTTGAATTAAAAAAATCTTTCAAACAAATCATTTAGATTTTGTTGTTAAGAATTGAAAAAACTTTAAGATTTTGTTATCAAGAAGTGAAAAAAATCCTAAACTCATTTACAGTATTATGTTTGTTTTTTTTTTTTGCCTTCAATGCTTAATATTCTTAAGTTTCACTTTTTCTTAAGTATGCTTAGTATTCTATGAATTAATATTTTTCATTTCTTAAACTGTTTTTCCTTGATTTAATATATATGTAACAGAAAATAACAATGAATATACTGGTTTAATATACATCAAATATTTGGATAAAAATGTATGTTACTCCCATTTAATTGGAAATTGCAAGGATAGCTTTAGATATTGTTTTAGTACATATTTATACATTACTTTTTATTATTATTGATATTGTTATTATTATTATTATTATTAAATAGAAATTTCAAAATATATGTTAAGAAAAATAGAAATAAGTAAAGCATATATATGTAATCCAAAATAAATAAACAAAAAAGAATAAAATTTTATTTGATTGATTTTAACATTTATAAAGATCAATGAACTAATATAGATATTTCTCAAATTCTTCATGTTTCTTTATTCATCAAAAGACTTATTTTGTCTCATCATCATCACATTCTTTTATAGATCTACATTCAAAACAAATTCATATATGTACATATTCTATTATTTTTTAAAAAAATATTTTTGATAAAACCAAAAAAAAATCTATATGAAATAAAATCAAACTTCATACAAAAATCTTCTTCTTTGTCAAGCTTTTTTTAGATCTCACTTCCTCATGCACATTTTTTTCCAACTAAAAAAGTGCATGAGGTGAAAAAAAATGATAAAATAAATGATGAATAAATATGTTATAATAATGTTATAAATGACGATAAATGAAATTATAATCTTATGTTTTTATCCTCCATAAAAATTAAGCATCTATTCATCTTCTTTTGGTTCAATTCATTCATTATATATATAGTAAAAGCTAATAATAATAAAATAATTAAGAATATTAAGAAGAGAAGTGGAAGTGGAAGAGAAGAAGATGAGAAGATAAAAAGATAAAACTAATATTATTCATACGTATATATATTACACTTGAATGTAAGAATACTATATTTTCTTTTTAACTTATAACAAAATAACTTTTTTATAATTAAAATAAATATGACAAATTTTAGTGCCTAATTAAGACTTGAATGTAGTATTTTATATAATATATAAATAGGTATAGATAGATAGATATAGATGTAGATATAGATATAGACGATTAATCTAAGAAATTTTTTATTAGTTGTTAATCTAATAATCAAATAATTTTTACTTTATATTTATATCTATTTTTTATCTTCCTCAATTATTTTTAATTCTTATTTAATTGAATTCATAATCCTTTAAAATTGAAGCTAAAAATTATCTACTGACTATTATTTTGATAAAAAATCAAACCATATATATTCTTGATATGCAAGATTTAAATGAAGTATTATAAAATAAGGGAAAGTATTTAACAATTCTCTCTCTTTTTTTTTTCCTTTTTTTTTTGTTTTTTTTACATTAGCCTTTACCAACTCTTTCTTTCATAATTGCTTAACTTGCAAAATTTTATTTTGTGATTATTTTTCTTGTCCCTTCTCTCATTTCCAATTTCCCATCATTTTTGTCCATTCCTATTTTACTTCTTTAACTTGTATTACAAACTATTTTAATATATTAATATAAGTGTTCACATTAAAGTTACAAAAAGAAAGTTATTTGAATGAGATTTAAGTGCAATTGAACGTATATTTTCAAATATATGTAGTAGTAGGAAAATTATACATACACCCTCCAAAATTACACTCTCCAAAATTACACATTCCGTTACACATTGATGGTTTCCGTTAGTGTGATGTTAAAATTAACGGTTTTCGTTATTTGTACCGTTACAATTAACGGTTTTCATAATTTTTACCATTAAAATTAACGGTTTTCGTTACTTTTAATGGTACACTAACAGAATTCGTCAATGTGTAACGGAGGGTGTGAATTTGGAAGGTGTATGTATTATTGTCCGTAGTAGCAATATTATACATATATACAATTTAGAAGAAATATGAGTAGAATTTATATTTGAAGATTAAAAAGTTAATAATAATATAATATGAACAAAATACAAAACATAAAATCTTCTTGCAAAAAAAAAGAAAAAAAGAAAACACAATATCTTCATATAACTTGATTTCAATCGAATTTATACCTTTCTTATTTAGTTCAATATCAACACTTTTATTATTCCAATTGAACTCAATCCCATGAGTAAAGTTTTTTCCTTAACACACAGCATGCAGCAAAATGGCTGTCTTTTACTAGTTTTTGAGGTACTTCATTGTTGCTATTTGATGCCTAAAAGTTGCACAAACAAAACAAAACCAAAAAAAAAAAAAAAAACATTTAGTAGAATACTTTTTGAATTGTTTTTAGGTTGTTTTTCTGCTTTATACTATATAAAGCAGAGTTTGTTAACAAGAAATTTGAGGTGGATTGTTATACTTCTCTCCATTTTTAGTTTATGTTCTACCTCTTTCCTCTCGATTTTGTCTCCTTTTTGAACCATGAAAAAAATCAACAGTTAAGACTTAAGAGATCAAGTACTCACAAAAGTTTCAACAAAAATGCCTCGTAGCTGTTCCCAGCCCTCACCTTCAACCTCACATAATTGAACAACATTTAATGGCTATAGGCCTATAGCACCAATACAAACTCCAGGACAACCATAGTTATGTCAATTGCAACTCCACGTAAAGAAGATCTTCGAGCACCTGTTTTGCAATTAACAGCCATGTCTTAGTTTCATTCATCATTCACATACTGCAAGTATAACTTCAAGATCATGGAAAAACAATGATTAATGCAGTTATGTAATTTACCACCATTAGAAGAGGTAGATATGCTGAAATAGAACTGATAGTCATGGTACCACATGCTACAACTATACCCATAAGTCTCCAATCCTCTACTATTTCCAACAATGGTTCCAAAAGTCATCAGTCAGCATCCAAGCACTTGCTGCAGCTAGCTCTACTAATATCCCTAGTGCACTGGACCATACCATACCTCTTCCCGCTTTGTCCAACATCCAGCACTCCAGCCTGAAACATCAGAGTCTGATTTGCAGCCGCAGCTGCAAGCCCCTTCAGGAAGTTGAACCCTTGGGATGCAACAGTTGGGTTATCAGAGTCGGTACTATTGTATATAGCTGCTGAGGATTTATCCCCCACACTAAAGAAAGGCTGGTCAGAATACCGGAGATAGCACCATGTGAACCAAACCTTAACAGTTTTGCTCTTGAGGCAATCCTGCACGGCAACAGCTATGGATTGGTTTGTGCAGTCAGCACAGTTTGCTGCAGAGACATCCCCTCTACACTGCACAAGACAATAAATCTTGTCCGACTTCTCCCCTGCTGTGGTTTTCTAGAATCCAATGTTAGGCCCATTTGCAGCCAGCTGATTCTGGAGGTTGTCAAGATTGGCCTTGAAGGAGTTTTCAGATGTTGAGTTATCAGCTTCTGAACATCCCCAACCGGCACTCACATTGTTGTCAGCAAGACAAATGTTCTGTAACAACATCAAAATTATGAATAGAACAAAACTCAATATATTCAGACCAATCATCTTCATATTCTATATCAACTCTAGCTTTAAGAAGAAGAGAAGAGAATGAATCTGTATAAAATTGAAAAGAGTAATGCAATCTCAAGCGTTTTGAATGTAAAAAGTCAACTCGCCAAATCTGATCTCTGACTTTTTTCTTTTTTTTTTTTTTTTGTAAGAAGCAATAGCAAATAGAAGTCAAGTAGTTAAAAAAATGCAACTAGGCCAACTAGTTCATGCACGTACTTAGGTATTTGGGTTTCCTTAACACGCTCTGAGAAACCATTAGTTTGGATAAGTACAAAACAAACTGTCATGTGTGATTAGATGGTAAAGCACATCAGCCTGCATGAGTTTGTTGCTCTTTTTTTTTTTTTTTTTCTTGTTTAGTGTACCATTTATCAATCTTTAATTAACTGTGCCGTGTAACACACAACTTTGATGCTGGGCTTCAGGCTGTAGAAGAATCCAAAGACACCGAAAGCTGGGGCTGGGCATTTTTTAACCGAGCCGATGGTTTACCTGAAAA